CTAGGCCTATGTTAAATTTGCTTTATGGAACCAAATCATTTGACAATGAGTCAGATAACTGAAATAAGCCTGGCTTATTTGGTTAACTTGTTTTATGAAATGGGCCTCGAGGCATGAAAAGTGATCGTATTTTCTCCATTGCATCATATTGCATCGAATCGCATTGTATCGAATCGAAATCGGATCGCACTGCATCGTAATAGGGATGAATCGTATCACATCGCATCGGTAGCTGCTTCATATGTATCTTTAATGTATCGTATCGTTGGCTATGCATCGTGATGCGTATCGTATCGGCTTGAGTAATGAGATGCACATCCCTATCACATAGGGGACATATTGTATTAGCCCTACAGTTAAAGCATGAAATACTATTTAAACCTATAACATTTTAGATAACATTTACCTATTTTATCTCACAATTCTCACAACTTTTTTTTCTTGCAAATGCAAGTTTATATCTCCTAGTTTGGACTTTATAACAACTCAACAATTGTGAGTTTGTCCATTCTGAGAAAAAAAGCCAAAAGTGTGGGATATAAACTCATGACTCTGAGCCGAGGGGAAAAGAGAGAATGACGAGTTGATTTATAAGAAGATAGATATAATCTGATTTATAAAAAGATAGATATAATAAGAGATATAATCTCAGAATTGCAAGAAAAAAAGTCAGAATTTTGACACAAAAACTCAATTACCTTTTTAATTCTTTTATTCCATGGCTTCCGTTGACTGCTACATTAAAACTGGCATTTTCTGCCACCAGATAGGCGCCGCCCACAAAAAACGTCATCACTGTTTGCAAACACTGAAATTGGTCTATATATATTTATTCCATGGTCTGTCTGAATACTCGATTCTGATTGGCTGGCAGGTATGCGTTAAAACCGTTTAATGCACAGGTAGTTCCAAGTCAGTTTAATCACTGTTCTATATTAATGCGCTGTTTTAATTGCACACACGCACACACACACCACTCGCACATAAACACAGTGAGAGGGAGAGAGGTCAAACTTATTGTCGCTGCTGCCCCGCGACTTTAATTAATAAAATAGCATAGATACTAGATCGCTACATTATTTTCCTCAGCAACGAGGTAAAAATCGAAGTAACTAAACAGCTTCATTGTTTGTAGAGAGAGACGCACAGACACAGGTAACTCTCACACACACAACTGTCATCTCTCTCTCTCGATCAATAATTAATTCAAATAAATGCTATAATTCATTCAAATAAATGTGGTCTTACCGCACTATTTAATCTGTGTGTCTGATTTGAAGCGGGCAGAATGCTAGATCTAACAAGCCGTAACTGACGAAAATAACCATAATTTTTACCCTTCTGGTTAAATATTGCGCTGCTAACATCATAACCCGCTTTAAGTTGTCAATGTTTGCAAATGACCATGGAATAAGCTGTGTAATCAACGGCATGCAATATTTCCACTTTTCTTTTCTCTTTTTAAGAAGAGAAAGGACAAAAAAAATCATCCTCACTGCTTGAAGACTCAATTTTCTATTGTTATCACTAGAGCCCGACCGATATGGGTTTTTTGGGACCGATACCGATATTTGGGAGTAAAAAAAGACTGATATCGATATATCGGCCGATATTCTTTGTGTATATTATAGTACAGTACCAGTCAAAAGTTTGGACACTTTCCCATTCGTGTGTCCAAACATTTGACTGGTACTATATATAGAATACAGTATATACATAAACAGAATATATATATATATATACATAAACACATTTTTTGCAATGCTCACTCAAATATGGTGATCAAACACTTATAATGATGTGACAAAGATATGTAATGATGAAGGCAGGGCATTTAACAATAAACTTTATTCTAAATGAGTCTGACATCAGTGCACTGAACAGTAAAGTTTAAGTTTATTCAACTTTAATTCAATTCAATTCAACTTTATTCCGTTTAAGTTTATTTCACTTTGGAACATTCACTCACGGATTTGCGCTACTGTCTTCACACTTCTCTAGTAAGTTCCATCTGTGTGTGAAGTGTGACATAATTTACCTCTGTAAATAAATATAAATTCACGTCTCGCGCACTTTAATGCCCTTTGAATGCAACGTGTACGTTGCCTTGGAACTGGAATCATGGCGGAATATCATGTGAAGTCCACTTCGCGGGTCACTTACGGCGTTTCATCCAGGTCGCCAGTAGCAAACAATGGAGTGCGCTCTGCTGGACAAACTAAGTAATTACACCATTTCAAGCATTTTATCTGTGTTATATGCTCTGTAAAAAAAAAAATTCATATCGGCGGCGTATCGGCGCCATATTCGCCGATACCAATATATCGGCTACGCTCAAATCGGTCGATAATATCGGCTAAACGATATATCGGTCGGGCTCTAGTTATCACTCCGCACACTCGCTCAGTCAATCTCTCTCTCATAACACTCTACATAATACAGTGAGCTTTTAATACAGTGATACAATAAGCTTTTAATGAAGCAACACCACGTTCCTTCGTTACAAGTTCTAAAGTGATGTTTTCGAATTAGTAAACTGTAAAACTGAAATTTGAATCCATGGTGGAAGGAAGTAGTTCTGTACAAAAGAGGGTTTTAAAAGACACTCTGTTGTGTTTTTTCTTATATATATTCACACAGTTGTGCCGTCGAACTGTTGTATAAACGCAATATCACACTCGTAGACATATATAATCGACTGACGGTTGATCGACGTGAGATATGGCTGTATATCGGCACGGCTGTGATTCGGCCGGAGGCACGAGGCCGTAGACATAATCGTCTACGAGTGTGATATTGCTCATATAATGTGTGTATGAAAAAAAAAAATTTGTTCCATGTAACTGTTGCCATAAACCAAGAAAATCAAACAAACAAATATGCCCAGTATGCTGTTGGTTTGAATGAGGAGGTTAATGAGTGCAATTGAGTCGGTGTACCTAAATATCTCCTGTTCATCCCTCTCTCCTTATTTTTACATGGGCCTAACCTGTTTTTCCTCTTCTGTGGTCAGTTGTCTGTGGATATTGTATACATGACAGGTCTGTTTATGACTTGTAATGTGTAGTTTTTTGATGATTTAATGATCAGCTCTTCATGAGTGAGCTCGATAGACAGTCAGTCATCATTTGGACCCATCATTAGGACATCTATAATGACTGTTTATGATTACTTCTGCTGTTCAGTGGTTGTATGATTTATGAATTTTTGTTTTAAAATCATGCTTTGCATTGTGTAGTTTTGATCAACTTTAAAAATCATAATCATAACAAATCACGCTGAAGCAAAAGATGTGTGTATACTGTAAACAAACCAGCATGAGAGATGTGGTAAATATAAAGAGCTCATGTAACCCATATTTTTGACATGTGCGGCATATGTCAGTCGATATATGTTAGCTGATTCAGATGACAAGAAATCTGTATCGGCTGCCAAAATCAAATTGATTGAAGCATAAATAATAGAACTCATCAATTAGAGAATATGTTACACTCTACATAGCAGAGATCCAATATCAACTATCAATATTTATTTTTATTTTGTGAGCAATATTATCTAAACTGTAATGTCTATACTTTCATGCCAGCTTTTTGAAGGTGAAAAATTAGTTCCAGTCACCCAAAAGTCAGTCATTGAAATTATATTTTAAGCACATTTAGAAAAGGTAGATAACCGATGGACAGCTGTAATCAGGCTCTAAATAAAATTTGTATTGGGAAAAATATAAGCTTTGAAATCATCAGCGTCAAATAAAAGTCTAATCAAATTTTTGTGCAAAAAAGTGCTGGTAAGGGCTTTATTGTGTACCTTTGGCTGTAGGATATTATTTATTTATGAGCACCTTGGTTAGGTTGTGCTGTCCATGATGGTAACATCCTTTACCTCTGACCCCATGATGTGTCTGGTTTCATAGGTTGGTGTGTGAGTGCGTGACCAGCATGTCAAAGAGCCCTCCTCACAGGCGTGGGATCACGTTCGAGGTGGGAGCGCAGCTGGAGGCCAGGGACAGTCTGAAGAACTGGTCAGTGTCTTTCCTCTGCTTCCGTTATGCCATCCGTTCATTCACTCGGCCTGATTGAAATTCAGATGCTTCACTGGTGCTGATGCCACTAGTTCTCATGCATTCCAGAACTTTTGAAAAAGTTCTAAATTTGCCCACAGGACAAATCTGAAATTCAGCAATCTTAAATCTGAGTTTATTTTATTTGTTTCATAATACCCCCTTCAAAGATCTTTTTCAACTTTAGAGACCCATATGTGACCTGTAAATAATCTGAAATAGATCATTTCAAACTTTTGGTTTTGTGTTCACAGGTATGCAGCTAGCATTGAGAAGATCGACTATGAAGACGAGAAGGTTTTGATTCACTACAGGCAGTGGAGTCACCGTTATGATGAGTGGTTTGACTGGAGCAGTCCGTACCTCAGACCTGTAGAACGAATCCAGCTTCGAAAACAAGGTCTCCCTGAACGGCAGAGCGCTCCAGTAAGCACTTCCTGTCTAACTTTGCTGAGTCACTCACGGTCTGCATGGGCAAAGTTGTTCTCTGACTCATTATGTTGCTGAATTATATATAGATATGTTTCTCTTCTCAGGGCTTTCATGTCAACCAGAAAGTTCTTGCCAGCTGGTCAGACTGTCGGTACTACCCTGCTAAGATCCTGTCCCGGGACAGAGATGGTGTGTACTCGCAACACTCACAACTAAATCCTCAGTTTATCTTCTGAATGGTCCAGCTTCAAATTCTTCAAAGTTTATTTTAATAAGTTTCATTAAAAAAAAATTATAATTATTTAAAATTCATTATAATATTTATATAAATTATATATGTATTTATTAAACAGTCAAATCTATATTTCCATTCCTTTTTTTAATTTAGAAATGAATACTTTTATTGAGCAAGGTTGCATTACACTGATCAAAAGTGACAGTAAAGACATTTATAATGTTACAAAAGATTTCAAATAAATGTTCTATTCATCAAAGAATCCTGAATAAAAAGTTTCTACAAAATATAAAAATTTCCATAAAAATATTAAGCAGCACAACTGTTTTCTATGGAGCATGACATGCAAGAAAAAATAAATAATTTGTGCGCACGATTTACTAATTCCTTCCCTCGATGTACTAAAATGTGCACATGATTACTATTTAGTTCCCTCAATTTACTAATTCGTTTCCTCGATTTGCTAAATCGTGTGCACAATTTATAAATCGAGGGAACGAATTAGTAAATCGTGTGCACAATTTATAAATTGAGGAAACAAATTAGTAAATCGTGTGCACAATTTATAAATCAAGGGAACGAATTAGTAAATCGTGCGCACAATTTAAAAATCGAGGAAATGAATTAGTAAATCATGTGCACAATTTATAAATCGAGGGAACGAATTAGTAAATCATGCGCACAATTTATAAATCGAGGGAACGAATTAGTAAATCGTGCGCACAATTTATAAATCGAGGGAACGGATTAGTGTGCGGGGCTCCATAGTTTTCAACATTGATAATAATAAGAAATGTTTCTTGAGCAGCAAATCAGCAAGGGGTGCTCCGATTGATCGGCTACCGATCGCTATCGGCTGATAATGGCTTGGGGAAGTTTGATTGGCGGTCTCTATAAAGGCCGACGCGACTGCTGTGAGAGGTTCAGCATGACATGCAGCAGCACCGTCTCTGTCCTGTCATCTCTGTCCGGCACGGGTAAAATAATTATAATGCTGATGGTGAGGTACAATTCATATTTCTTCAGTAAATAACAGAAAATGTAATTTCACAAACAGCGTGAGTGAATCAACACGTGCTCTCTCTTTCCTTCTCTAAATGTGCAAATGGTTTCAAACCACCACATCACGTCTGCACAATAGGCGAGCTGCACAGTTCACACAGGAATTGTCACTTGCACAATCGAGGCAGTGTTGCATCGTCACTAAAGTTTATAATTTTCATTTCTTTTTAATTCTTGCCAGTGTTTAAACCATTCAGCACTTGCGCGCTCTCCTAGAGACGGTGCGTTCATGCACACTCAAAGCGCACACATAACGCCAGGTTCACACATACTCTTGCTTATATTTACTGCGTTTAAACACGTCTATGAAAGATTGTATTACTGTACAGCATAAAAAAGAGAATCAGAATGCTCAAAAAGCATTTTCCGTAACAACACTTGGATTTATACTCAAAATGGATAAATGTTGTGTTTGTGGTAAACAGCCGCACATCAGTAGCGGACTCCTGTGTAAAAGCACAATGAGTCCGTGCTGCTTCTGCACCACTTACACATAGACCGCATACGCACTGCACCTGGCATGAGGCCGACTCACATACAGCTCACGAAATCAGGCTTGTGCTGTGTGTAAGCTATTGTGCAACCATTGCCCCATTGTAAAAACAAAAATGCTCTGCATGATCAAACATTTAGGTGAGATAATTATATATTTTTGAAAAATGTAAAAAATATAAAAAAATCCCCCCACAAGAGTCACCTAAGAGGGTAATTCGGATAATTAGGAGTCATTTACAGCACCACCAACTGGCAATAGGAAGCGTGTCATTTTCAAAATGCTTTGAAATCAGCCTCTTATTTTTACTCAAACTACTGAAGATGCTAAATTGCTAACGGATTTTTGGATATCTTGAATGGTGTTGCCATGGCAATTTATTAAAAATAACAGTAAAAAAAGATAACCGTAATTTTCTTATCTTTAAAGTGCATTATCCAAACTCTTCCAAAAAAAAAAAAAAGGAGAACAAGTCATTCTGAGGAAACATGCTTAGTTTTGTAAATTTAAAATCCGGGACCAGCAGAAAATTTAAAACTATCAGACAGTTCAGCTAACAGATGAAGGCTGTAATTTTAAGGTTGTCCACCAGGATTAGAAATATTTTAAGCCTAATCTTGTTCAACTCCGTCTCCAACTCTCTATTAATTAGAATGACTAATAAATGTATATAATCAGTTGATATGTACTGTACTGTCAGTATACTTTTACATAATTATTTTAGAAATGCTTATAGAGCATTAAAATCATTTTTTTAAATCTTATAGATCATTGAAAGTTTTATATATCCTACCCTCTCTCACTCATAGGATAAGAAATCTTTTAAGCCTGATCCTTTACTGCTCAGTTCAATTAGTTAGATTGACAAACAAATACATAATAAGTTAATATGTACTACAGGTATACTGGTATTATAGTTTTATATAATTATTTCACACATGCATATAGATCATTAAAATCATTTAAAAAATTTTTTTATAAATCATTAAAAGTTTTGGTAACACTTTGCAATAAGGTCTCATTTGTTAACATTAGTTAATGCATTAACTAACATGAACTAACAGTGAACAATATATTTTTACAACATGTATTAACCTTTTTTTAAATGTTAGTTAATAAAAATGTTCATGTTAATTCGCAGTACATTAACTAATGTTAACAGATACAACTTAAAATTTTAATAATGTATTAGTAAGTTTTGAATTTAATATGAACTAACATTTAATAAATGCTATATAATTATTGTTCATGTTAACTAATATAGTTAATGTTAACAAATTAAACTGTATTGTAAAGTGTTACCAAAGTTTTATATATTGTTCTCTGTGTGTGTGTTTCACACTCTTGATTTTATAGTGTAACCCTTTCTTTGCTGTAACCCTTAAAACCAGACTGCCAGAGGGTTACTGTAAATGCATGTGCCCGCTGTGCACCGTTTTCCTGATGCCACCGGGGTGGCGGCTGCGCTGATGGCTTGGGCCCATGATCGCTGCTTGCAGATATATTTGTAAATTGTATTTATATTTCACAATATTACTATTTTTACTGTATTTTTGATTTTTTTTTTAAATGCAGCCTTGGTGATCATAAGAGACCTTTTCAAAAACATAAAAAAAATTCTTACTAACCCTAAAATTTTGGGGAGTAGTATTAGGGGTGTGCGATAGTGACAAAAAATGATATCTCTATATTTTCATCTATATAGATCAGGGGTGGCGAACGTCGGTCCTGGAGAGCCGCAGCCCTGCAGAGTTTTGCTTCAACCCTAATCAAATTTGGCAGGTTTAGAACTGCCGTGGACAGCTGATTCCCAAAGCTTTTGATATCCTTCATATTCTGTGAGGTGGTTAGTTTGCAGGAGTAACAGAAATGAATATTTAAGTTTAAATTGATTTTTACCTTTTATGGGCATTTTTACCTTTTATAAAGCCAATTTTATTTCTAACCTAATTAAATGTATGCATCGTCTTTTGTGGCAAATTCTTAAATTTAATCAATAAATTAAAATAGTAGGACACTATATAGCTGTTACCAATCAAACGAAATTTGTGTTTGCAATGAAGAGGTGCACAGAATCTGCATCTGAAGTGGCGTTTAGATGCATTCACACAGACTTTTTAATGAAGGATATGAATGCATTTAACCTGCAGTTACAAATGCATAATTAATGTTTTGATGTTTTAAAAACGTGCTACAGCCAATGAGCAAGGCATGGGTTGAGAACAGCGGAAGAAAAACCGCAGCAGCAACACAGCTTTAAGAAAAGTTTGGACACAAGAAATGCATCAGTTTTTTTCAGAACAGATCATCACACAAACAGCTTGCAGCACTAATTTCTTCCTGACATCCATTTTTAAATAAACAACTCCTGTTTCACTTGTTGTTTTGCGTCATTCCCGTTCAACTTCTCGCATGTGTTTTCATGAGAAAACGTGGTTTGGGGACCGTGTAGAGTTGGCTGACAGAGTTGTTGTCAGCTCGTGTAGTGTGTGACCATTTACGTAGTGTCACGTATTGTGAACACCACAACGACTCAAGACAGACAGCATGTCATGTAGTCTGAACAGCACAGCGTCTGCCAACGTTTAAAGTCATGTAGTCTGAACTAGGCTTAACGAATGTGAATGCCCAGTAGCCTAATTTATCTCATAGTGTATGCGTGCACTCTCAGGGTGTGTTTTTGTTTGGTTTTTGTAATATACTCGATTATGTCAAGTCGCATATCGTTTAAACAACAATTATGATATTATCGTAGACAATATATATATCACACACTCCTAAGTAGTATATAAATATATATATTTAATATTGCATATTTATTTGTGCTGCTCATTTCCTGTATTTTTACTTTATTAACTTTGCTGTCATCGTAACGCTCACTTCATGTTAAAATTGAAAAACACTAGTAACTTGATAAATGTGAATAGTAAATGTAAAATATACAATTTTCAGAAAATAGAATATAGGCAGTCTCTAAATATTTATATTTCATACTGTTAACTATAATGTTGTGATACCTAAATTCACTTGTGGCATTTAAAATAATTGATTCAAGATTTTAAATGCATATTTATACAATAGAATTGTATTTTTATTCGCCATAAGTGACAATAAATCAGTTAATCAGTATCAGCAAGAATTTTATTATCAGTGCATCTTTCATAGATATGTATTTTACACCCATTATATTATGGAAGTGTTGAGCATTACAAAAGGCTGTGGTTCTGTGATGTCTCAGGTTTCTACACAGTGAAGTTTTTTGATGGAGTCATAAAGAGAGTGAAGGGGATTAAGGTGAAGCCGTTCCGCAAGGAGGTGAGAAGCGATTGCCTCAGCTCCAATAATTATTAAACCAGGCCATTAAAAACAGGTTTAATGAGTTTGTCTTTATCTACAGAGCTCTGAAGGCAAGACTAATCAGCAGACTCGAAAGCGGGGCGATCAGAACGGGAAAAAATGGAAGGCCAAGGAGAACGGCAACAGCAGAAGTAACGGCTCGAGACACAGCACGTCTGACCAGGATGGAGAGAGCGAATCGGAGGAGGATGAAGAAGACGCCACAGTAATGGATGAATCCAGAGCTCTCCAAAATGGTGGAGAAAGTGAAAGCACTGAAACGAAGATATTGAACGAATCAGAGCCGAGTTCTGCTGAGCACAACGAAAAACAGCCCAGTGAAGACAACAAGACAGAACCGCATGAGAATGGAGAATCGAACAAACCAGAGGAGAAAGAGATGAATGGGGGACAGGAGGAGTCCCAAGCACTTCAAAATGGCATGGACAAGAACGACGGAGACAAGAAAGAGAAGGAAGAAGCAACAGATGAAAGCCCCAGTCTGCCCAGAAGGACCAGGAGTAGGATGGCAGATGGTGAGTTTGGTTTGGAGGAACATGGTGGTGTTACATCTGAATATTTGATTTGGTTATGATTCAGTTCCAAGAGCCAGATTCAACCTCACACGCACACCAACGGACAGCATTTGCTGAGCAGCAAAAAGAGAGACAGTGTGAAGAGAGGAGATGGAGCACTTGAATAAAAATGAATGGGAGAAATCATAATGCTCTATGTGATATCTGTAGGACAGGGAGTCCTGCCTTTCAGTTAAAAGAGCAAATTGCTTTTTTGATAGGCAGTGTCGGTTTGTTTACACCAGAGCATGCGTGTCTGTTAGCTGGACCAATGATTTGAGCTATAGAAGCTATTTTGCGAGACTGTTGTTGTCAAGTTTATTGCTGATTTGACATATGGAGATTTTGGTCTTTCCTCATTGGAGGAGATTGCTTTACCGTTACTTAATAATGTTACAAAATATATCTATTTCTAATAAATGCTGTTCTTTGGAACTTTCTATTCCTCAAAGAATCCTGAAAACAATGTGACGACAGTTTCCACCAAAATATGAAGCAACACAGCTGTTTTCATCATTGATAATAATCAGAAATGCTTCTTGAGTGGCAAATCAGCATATTAGAATGATTTCTGAAGGATCATGTGACACTGAAGACTGGATTAATGATGCTGAAAATTCAGCTTTGATCACAGGAATAAATTACGTTTTAAAATATATTCAAATAGAAAACGGTTATTTTAAATTGTAGTAATATTCATAATATTACTGTTTTACTGTATTTATGATTAAATAAATGCAGCCTTAGTGAGCATAAGAGACTTATTACAAAAACATTTTAAAAATCCTACCAAACTTTTGAACAGTAGTGTATACCACCTAAACAGAAAATAACTGATAAAAATGACTAAAATGCTGTTGCAACCATGAAGAATTTTTAACCATGTCAAGAGTCTGGTAAGTTATTCCAGTAAGGACTGAAAGTAAAGGATTGTTGGGTGATTTACTCATGTATAAGGCTCAGACTTGATGATTCAAGTTCTTGGCTTGTGTCTCTCACAGGAATCGATGTGGAAAAGTCCAGTGGTCCAGAACTGAGGAAGAGACGTGCATCAACAGGACAGATGCCACCGTCCAAAAGGAGCAGAGCCAATTCAAGCACAGGTTCACTCTCTCTGTCACTTGATCATACTTCATTCTTGTTGTTCCAGCTGTTATTCTTTATACTGGTTGGCGTTTAAACCATCTGACTGGACATTATGTCTCTGATCCCCTCATAGACAGAAACAGTCAATCCCAAATCAAACCGGTTAAATCAGACTGTGTCCCAGAGACTTTAGAAAGTAAGGATGGCCCAACCAGTCATGCAGAAAATGCAGCACCCAAAGAGGAGGCAGGATCCACACCTGATCTTGGTAAACATCCTCCTGTGTTTCAGTTTGATAATCAGATGTGTTTGCTAAGACTGAATCATTATTGCTATTTTTCATACTAAGGGTGAGTATTTATTTATTTATTTATTTTTATAAAGTCTCGTATGCTCACCAAAGAAAAAAAAATTACTATTGTGAAATAATATTAAAATTTAAAGGTGCAGTAAGCGATTTCTGAGAAATGCTGCTGATACTTGAAATCACCAAAACAAACACACCCCTCAGGGCTCTACAGTGCGACCAAACTACTGCGTGCGACTTTGAAAAAATATTTAGGAGCACCAGTGCGACTGACCCGATCA